GTAAAAATAGCTCATTACATGCAAAGAAAAGATGAGCCGATGGCTGATGTGTGGTTGTTCTTGCCCTTCTCTTTCTTTACAAGCCTCCTTGTACTGAGCTCCTAGGAGCCACGGGGTTCGCTGGTTTGTTTTCTGGAATCTAAATGGTTTGCTGGTTTGTTTTCTGGAATCTAAATGGTTTCCCTACGTGTATAGAGAATAAAGCTAACGCTCAAAGTGTTGGGGATTTTGATTTTTACTAACAGCGGAGACCAGCCCTGCAGTGGTTCTGTGGGGGGAGGAGGGAGGGGAGGGAAAAAGTGCACGGTGGTGGGTAGCTGGGGTCAGAATGATGGAGAAGCGAGTGATCTTTGCCATTTGTAAATTAGCCTTATGTTATCTTCGCAGTTGGTCGATCAGCCAGGCCCAGGGGGGCCAACATGCCCACAACAGTCTCCTTCACTGAGCCCGAGGGGTTCACAGACTCCACCTCTCCTTTGTACCCTTGGCAGCATACCAGTCATCTCTCTATTGATGGCTAACACCTATTGCTTAGGGGTGTTTTCTCAGAGACCTGTTGGTGGTGTAGTGGGTTGTGTGTTGGGTTTTTAAATGCAAGGCCAGTGGTTCACAACTACAAGCAGTTCAGAGTGGGTTACACGTTTTGCTGCAAACCACCAGGTTAACAATTCAATACCACCATTTGATCCATAAGAGAAAAATGAGGCTTTCTATTGCTGTCAACAGTTAACATTTCAGAAACACACAGGGGCAGTTCTGGTTTGTTCTCTAGGGTAACTATGAGTCTACGTGGACTTGATGGCAGTAAGTTTGTTTATTTTTGTTTGTTTTTAAGTTAACCAATCCCACTTGTGACACCAAACAAAAATTAACCAAGTATCTGTATCGTAATTTCTTGGTTTCACAAACTTTATCTGTGTGATAACATTTTTGTTGAAGTTATCAGTTTTTACATGCATAGGCTGGTACCTTCCTGCATCCAGATGTGATGCCTGTATTTTCTCATGTTCTGAATAAAGTGTCTGAAATGATATTTTCATAGATTGAGTGGATTCCTTTCTACGCCGATGTGAGCGAGGGCATTGGCTAGGAACTGAACTCAGGCCTCCCCTAGGAAAGGTACGAATTCCAGCACAGACCCACCACCGGTCCCATACTTCAAAAGAAATCTTCACCAGAGCAGAAAGCCTCCTCTTTCTCCTGTGGAAAGACTGGTAGATTCAGACTGCAGTTAGCAGCCCAACACCCCCAGCCTCCTTTGCCAGTGTTCCTGATTCCACTTGAGCACTGTCCTTATGACAGAGAACAGATGTGGAGAGACAGGGGCAGAGCTCCCGTGGAGGGACAGCTACAAGAAACACCCGAGGCTCTCGTCAGCTAGAAGCTGCAAGGCAGGCAGGGAGAACACAGGGCTTGGAGCAGAGATGCTGACAGCCGGAAGTGGGACTCCAGCCTCCAGAACTTTGAAACAATGCGTTTCTGTTCTTTTAAGCCAGCAGGGTTGTGGTATTGGGTTACATGGGCCCTAGGAAGCTAGCACAGGGCCTCGGGTTGTCTGAAGACATCAAAGGGGGCAGCGTTACAGATGTGGAGCTGGCATGCTAATTAGATGTAACTAGTGACATCCTAAAGGAGCCTGGTGGCAAAGTGGTAATGAGTCGGGCTGGTATTGAAAAGGTCAGCAGTTTGAAATCATCACTCTCTCCAGAAGAGAGGCAGGGTTTCCATTCCTGTGGGGGGTTACAGTCTTGTGGCTCATGGGTTCAAACCACTGACTTTTGGATTATCAGCCCAATGCTTAACTTGTGTACCTCCGGGCTATCTCCTTCAAAAGACCACCTGTTCACTTTTGAGCAGTTTAAATTCAAACTGCTATATGGAAGAGTGCCTCTGGTGATACTAACAGTGCTCTGTAAATAAAAGTTTCTAAGAAAAAAAGTAACAGTCACAGAAACCCACAGGGGCCGTTCTACCCTGTCCTATAGGGTCTCTATGATTCGGCATCGACTTGATAGCATGAGTTGGTTTTTGGATTTTGGAGTGATATCATAGGAGCCCTGGTGGCATAGGGATCACAGGCTAGCAGCTCCAATCCACCAGTGGGGCGTTCTACTCCCATAAACAGTTATAGTCTCAGAAACCCACAGGGGCAGCTCTGCCCTGTCCTACAGGGTTGCAGTGGGTTGAAATCGACTCATGCCAGTTGAGTTTGGTGGGGTTTTTTTGTTGCTGTTAGTCACATCATGGGATTAGTTCTCTTGTTTTGGGGACTCATGGGCAATTAGTCAATCTGCATAACAGAGCTTTTATTTCCTACCTTTCAGTAAGCTTATGTGTACCTAGCTAAGATACAACAGTTAGTCTTCCTTTAGAACAAAAGAGAAAGAAGAGAAGAATCAGAGACAGGGCTGGAGTCCAGGCCTCGCTGCTTACAAGACCCACGGTCTCCTCCCCTTGGAGAGCAGAGGAACTAGATGGTGACCCACTCCCGCTACTAGCTGTGCTCTGACTCTGAATGCAACTAACAAGTGCTGATTTTAAAGAAAGGAGACAAAAATGTAAACCAGAACTTCCAGTTCTTTTAAAAATCCTGATCTGCTGAACCTACTGGGGCTAGAGGTGTCGCTGAGACTGGGTCCTGAGTGGCTTTTCAGACCTTGAATTGAAACTATCCCCCAAAGTCACCTTTAACTATCCCCAAAGGAGTTTGTCACCCTTGAATATAGGATTTAAATATATGTACATAGAAAATATATATATAATAATAATAAAATGAGGGGGTACAACAGAACAGCAAAGGAACACCAGGGAATGCTGAAGGTGGACTTTGGGGCCAGGGCGTGGTGCCCCAACAGATGGACTGGAAAACACTCCTAAAGGCCAACAAACAGTCCTTGAACTAACTACAAGCTTTTCTTTCTTGTTGTGTTTTGTTTTGTTTTCTGTCATTGGTTTGTTGTTCTTGTTGTTTTGTTGTATATTGTTGCTTGGTTTTGCTCTGTCTTGTTTTTGTGCATGTTATT